CCGACACCGAAAACGAAACCCGTTTGACCGTGCCAATCACGCAATCTGTTCTGCCCTTAAAAGAGCAACGGAGCCAGGCTCCCTGGAGGGCACGTGTGTCGCACCCCGCGGAGACGCGTGCCGGCTGCCCTCGCTGGTGCCCACGTCGGGGAATTTCACGTGGTGGCCTGGCTAGGGCAGCTGATGTGCGCGCGCGGCACCGCGCAGGACGTGCGAGGGCAGATGCAGTGTCTTTGCACACCTGCCTCTTAGCCGCGTGCTTGGTAGGCTTCTGCTGCTCTTCTCCTGCCAGCTCTTAATTTCCTCCAAGAAATTACTGAAAAGCTCTGCTCTACCTTACTGGCAGAGCAGAGACCTATAAGTGGTACTGACAGGGGAGCGTGAGCTTTTTGTAAAGCAAAAGGTGGACATGCTAGTCCGCCCCACCCCAACTATTTGATGCTTAAATCCAAAACTGAAGTGTGAGATGTCTCAACATATTGCCTGCATTTTACCTGAAAGCTTCTTAGGTACCTACAGCTATAGGTTGCTACACGTTTTCAGGTACACCTAAACATGAACAGGTAGGTGCCTAACTCCCCCTCATCCCCCGAATCCAGAAGCTGGTCAGAATAACACCGAAGTACCCCTAGAACCTGACTCGGGGAATGGGGAGTCTAAGGGATGCCAGAAGGATCAGCCAGCTATCGTGTCAGGGGAAAATATTTTTTCAGCCGAGTCTGACTTGCTGCATGGCGTGTTTGCCGGTGTTGGCGCAAAGAGAGAGGGTGTAATGTAAAGCTGGGGATATGTGCGTGCGAAGGGAAACGGTTCGATTTTGATGAACTTCGATTTGGTTTTCTTTGTTCTTCACTCAGTAGGCTATGGGTTTCCTAGGGTTTACGTCTCGCTATGCTGGCTGTTCAGAAGTGGGGGGACTTGATTGCCCTACAACAGAATTTGAAGCTCCTTGAATAACATCTAGGCTACTCATCTGTAGGATTTAAACGCTTGAGGCTTCACCTCAGAGCTTTCTAGACTGGACTTCTTGTTTTAAGACATACTCCTCCTTTTCAGAGGACTGGCTGGCTGGTCTTGACCATTGTAGGGAAGATGCTGTAAAGTTTTTCTTCTGCTTTGTTTTTCATGGCTGTCATCTTGTGTTTGATCTGCCAGATAGGCCTGAAGCATGACGATTCCAAGTTGTAAGAAAAATCTTTCAATATGTTTCAAATGACATGTAGTTACCTTCCTCTGTCTGTTTATGTGCATCACGTACTAAAATTATTTCCTGCTTCTAGTGTCTTGGCTTCCCAAGCACCTTGTTTTTAAGCAAATAAATAAAAGATGTAGAATTCTTTTGTGAATGAACTGCTTCACCTCTTCTGATCCTGTGTGCCTTTTTTTCTTCTACTTAACAATGTCAATCATTAAAGCATGTGCAAAACAATCTAACCGTTGCAATCCAATGATACTGATTTGCTGCATCCTGATGAAGGGTTCAACCTGCATTTTTGTACACAGCTCTGGCAGCAGAGCAGCCAGTACCTCTTTAAGAATATTTGGCAACCGTTAGCGTTCAGACAGAAACTGGTGAAAGGGCATGGGAAAGGCAGCATGATTCAAAGGTAAAAGCAACAGATGCTCGTTTCTTTTACTACAGAATCAATGGATGGAAATCGCCTCTTTAGAACCTTACCTAGAACTATAACTTTTTATTTCAAGCAAAGTAAGTAAGAGTCACTTCCCTGAACAGCATGAAACCTTTTAGAGCAGCTCAAACTGAGCAAGCTAGGCTTCTACCTAACTAATTTACATCTAGGCTTAGAAGCTTTTACATGGTCTTTCTGGTTGCTGAAGCACATAGTTTCAGTTTTAAATTGTGATTACAGCCCTAATGTCTCCTGTGAGGAATATGTTGATGTGCAGAACTGCCCCCTACATGCATGTGCAAGACTGATACAGCCCAGCAAATAACTGGCTGCTATAGTAAAAATGGGCAATGCTTGAAACCTATGCCCATCACCTCAGAAATCTCAAAGTACCGCTGCTGCAAAAATGAATTCTTTGGAAAACGCTCTGTGTCCTGCTTCTCTGCCTGAACAGGACGTAGCTGTTACTTTTGGGAGCTGGCACCGTAGGTGTACACCCTGTTTGTAATGACATTCCTGCAGAAAAACTGGTTTTGCAAAGTTCTTTGCTTTCCTCAGTATAGAAAGTTTGTTAGGATGGGGGGTGATAGCTTCAGTATGCTGGCATTGAGTACGCTCAAATCTCCCCAGCTTTTGGGGTTTCTTGGGTGTAGAGCCCCACTGACACAGTTGCATCAGACTTTTTCAGCTCCCCGTTCTCTGCTCCAGCACAGAGTAGAGGATATCGTGATTGGTACGTAGCTATAGCTGTATTGCCCATAGCACTGGAGTGAAAATCAGAGTCCTCACTGCGTAGAAGAGACGGAGCCATATTTGTTCTCGGCCACAATTATTTTTTTGCTCTGCCTTTGTCCATCCACTCTGTGATGCAAGGGGTGGCTAGCTAAGAAGGGAAAGGACAGAAATTGATGAGAGGCTTTTCGACAAGTAGCACAGCCTGCCTCTTCCCTGCAAGGGTGAAGTTGCTTCAACTACTCTGTTAACAAGTTTGGCTCACAAAAGATGTTTTTCACACATAATAAAGTGGAGCTGTTCTTCAGTTGCACTTGAGTTCTCCCATTTTTGCTTATTGAAGCCATAAAGCAGAAATCACTGCTAAACGTGGATGCATTTAGGGGACTGTTTAAGTCGTAAGCTGGTCATCTTGGATACATCTGCAGAATGTCCTACAGGAAGAGGTTTAAGTTCAGTGTTAGCAACTACGGAACAATCCCGCCAAATTTGTGATTAAGAGCAGAGGTGAGGAACTGCCATGTAGAAAGAATTTAAGAATATCAATGTACATCAGCTATCTGGTTCCTAGAGCAAATACAAAAATGTAAATAGTCTAATCCTTTGTCAATGTTCAGATCAAGATGAGTATTGGACAAACAAAAATAATCAGAAAACACACAAAACACTTGAAAGCGTGGGCTGCTATGCCCAAGCACAGCAGAAGTGCCCGTTTCTGACTAAGCTGGGAGCATCCTTAATAGGAGAAGCAGGGATAACAACTGAATGAACAAAGCATCCAAAGCCTGAGGGCATATTAAGTATATTTTGTAAAATGAAGTATTCTGGCAGGAATCCAAACAAAGCTGCTCAAATGCTGGTGCTGTCCTGTGAGAAAACTGGCTATGAAAAAGGCTGCTGCTTCATTTAAGGCAAGCCAGGAGAGAGATTACACAGTTCTTAAGGGCTTTCCATCTGCTTGGAAAGTAAACACACCCCAAGCAAAGTGTGCATGGAGGCGCATCAGCTAATACCATCACTGTTTCTCTACGCTTTGGAGTATTTTAACTAACAAACTTTACTCTTTGAAGGTGAAAGAAAAAACCTCCCTCTTATTTATCCTACGAATATCAGAGCAGTTGAAAATTAGATTCACAGAAGAACTCAGTTCTATGATGCTGAGTATTTTATCATCAAAAATTTAGGTACCCTTCTGTCTTGTAGGGTCAGCATCTAGGTTCCCTTTAAAACAGCAGGTTGCAACCTGCAACGTGTTCTGCACATTCAGCAAGCACTGAGTGGACTTTCTTAGGCTAGTATAAGCCCTAGGCATCCTGAGGGCCGCTACACCGAAGAGTAAGAACACAGTGGGGCAAGGAGAGCGTGAACAGAGCTTAAGATGTGCCCATACACTTGCCTTTTTCTCTTCACTAGCTTAGGTGCCTTCTCCGGCCGTTGTCAGTTGAGATTTCCAGTCGTAAACCTGCTGATGGGAAGTACCTATTCCAGAGCTCATGACTAGAGCACTTAAGACACTCTTAGGAGATTTCTCTATCTTTCTATAGATCTCTGTCTGTGTTTGTTAATGCTCAGTACCTATGGGGTTTGTTTTAGTTTTCCCTTTCATTTTTTTCTCTTTGTAAACGCTATGGCTCTTGACACTGAGACGCTACACGCAGCTTTCCAGTAGAGCTGGACGAAGACATCACTGTTTCTGCCAATGCTGCTCTAGGCTAAGAGGCTTAGGCAAAAATTTCACATAACTTTATGGTATGAAGCAATGTTTGTTGGTCTTATGGTGCTAGGTGGAGAGTGGCTACGGAAATGGAAAAGAAGGACAGCCTAGTGCTAGAGCTGCAAAAATTGACCTCCTGCCCCTCCTGCTGATCAATATTGGCACACAAACAACAATTAAAAGTAACCATAAATATTTGATGTGAAAGAAATTTGTAATGTTATTTCTCCTAAATAAAGGGTTTTCTTCTGTTTTAAGTCAAGAAAGGAGTAACTGCAGAGATTTGTGGGTTGTATTCTGTTTTCACATTCTTTTACTGCTGATAGACTGTTTAAATTTAATTTGGAAGGATGAGCAAATAGTTGTGCAAGTTCACTTCTTCTGTCCTTATTGTGTGGCACACTTTCCCCCCTACTTATTTACTTCATTTTCTGCTTGTTTTTAAGGACTCGCTCCTGAGGCCAATAAGTTAGTAAGCAGTTTGAAAAATATGCCACAGATGCATGATGAAGCATATGCCCAGGAAAAAAAACTATACGACACCCATGAATATCCAGATAAGACACTGGTGCTCCCGTAAGTACATTGTCCTTGGGGAGAGGGAGGGCTGGGAAGTGTCCTGATAATTTTCAGAAAATTAAATCTCCAACCATTAATGTGAAGATCCTAGTATTAGATTAGCAAAAATGCTTAAAAGGACTTAAAAGGAAAAAAACCTACCATATCTGGCACTATCTGCAATGAAGTGTTACATTGCTGCTTGAAAAATAACTTTTAAATTAGGCAACAAGTAAGCAATGTAGGCAGCTTAGTTCTGCCTTTTTTCTGTTTCTGAATGTTAACTCGCTGCTGTGCAGACATACAAATATTCCATAGCAACTAAGAAAACTTTATATACAGTACCGTGCAAATTATCTCCAGCATATGTCTGGAAAAGTAGCAGCTAATTAATGCATCCATGAATAGGCCCCATGCTTTAATTCTGTAAGCCTTCTGTTTTTTAAAAAAAAAACGTAAAAGCTGATTGTCTTTCCCAAATTTATGCAACATTATGGTAATGAGTGATGGGCTTATAATTAATCTGCATTGCTTCTTAACTGTTGGGCAGTGATTAATAAGCTTATAGGTTTTATTTAGAGGGTAGTATGCTAATTTGAGATATTCCCCAGCTGTGATGAATGACCGTACCCCTGTAAACACGTTAACGTTGCACAAAGGATGATTGTACGTAGTCGTTCCAAAAATTAATGGGACTATAGCCGTTTTGCTATAAGAGTAAAAATGGATATTCCTTAATCTTTAAGGAGAAAAATTAAGACATACAAACAAAATGTAGAGATTATTAATTTCTTTCTATTTTGTACTCAGATCCCTGTGTTAAGCTTTTAAAAGTAAGCACTTAAAAAGGAAGTAAAAAAACGGACTCCCGGTGGAGTAGTATTGGTGTGAACATAAAATCTATGTTAAATATGATGGTTATATTAAGCAAAATAGAGATTTGTTGCAATACTGTGCTTATACCTGAGGACCTTAAATGCTTTAGAGGATTTCAAATATAACAAAACTGCCCTAGTATACCCATTTGGGTCCTGAATATACTTCTCCTAGCATGTTTTCTACAAAGAAAAAAACAACCCTTAAAACAGTCATTCAGATCAGGAGCTTACTGGAGTTTGTTTTTCTGGGGCAGCTAAGTGCCGTTTAGGGAGGTCAGTCACGACAGCTTGCCTTTTTCCCTTTCCTCCTAGTTGAATGATATTTTAACTAGGCAGTAGAGAAATATTGTAAGTTTCTGAGGAGAGCAAATAGGAGTCTTTTGTGAACTTTGCATATTTCTGTAATAACCCTATAGTATAATGAAAAAAGATATAAACTTATGATCTGTTTTTAGGGAGATGCATCACAAGTAGTGGACCCGATTGGTGTGGGGGTTTGGAATTTCATATTTTTGTGTAAGCAGCGCTTCCTCAGGGGATCTGTCTTTTCACAGTTTTTCAGCTGACTTCCAAAGCTGCTCTTAGCGTGCGTGAATATGCTATCCGACGAGGCTTTCTTTAGCGTGAAACCTACCCTCTTAGCTATGGTACGTCAGTTAGTTAGGAATGAAAACTCTACACACGCTATCTCTGCTGTAAGCAATTACCTTACAGGCCTCATAGGAGGAGTAGGTCTGCAGATTTTATTAGTTGATGAACTGATAATTAACTCTTGCTTTTGCGTATTTTAAGGTGCTATATATGTATACAAAAATAGCGGGTGGAAAATATACTACTGCATATGCTGAGGGAAGGCAACCAACTTTCTTCTCTGTACTCTAAACACCTTATTTCAGGAACTTTCTTTTACACGTTCATACAGCATGCGGTGTCCAGATCTTTTCTGTAGCCTTGGACTGTTTTCCAGTGTAAATGTTGAAGTATCTATCGCAGTTATTCATATAGACTGTTGCAGCTGGCAGCTAGCTTTCCGTGATCCTCAGGCAGTGGGAAAGCACTGAGGATGCTCTGAAGATCACTCTATTAAGCATGCTCCTGGATGTCTTTGCTTGGAAGAGAAAGTAGCAAGGGCAGAGCTGGCTCTAGCTGCCTCAGTATTTCTTGTTTGCTAGCTGCTTGTTCACCGTTTCGTTGCTGTACAGGAACTCATTCCAACTATTAAGTAAATCTCTATTTTTAAGTATTTCTAAAATGTTTTTTGTTTCGTGTCACTTTAACCTTGTAATTCACTTTGTAACTTAGTCTTAGAGACTGAGCCTTAAACTTACTTCGGCAAACTTTCCCTCGCGCCTAGTCTAAGAGCTTCCTTTAAGTGTGAGCGTCCAGACATTCTTAGGCTTCGGTCTCCATCTGCTGGGCTACATACTGCATGGTGTTTGAAAGTGCTACCTTCCTAGGCCCATCAGGTATTTCTTGGCTCATTGCAGGCCCATCCTATTGCTTGATTGGCCTCTTTTTTTAAATAGTAGTTGTTTTGTCTTGTCTTCATTATACTTAAAGCAGTCTTCTCCCAGCTCTCAAGGCTGCGTTTCTTCAGTGGCCAGTAATTGGTTGTTAGCTGAGTTGTTTGTAGTCCTGGGGCCTCTGTTTTCAACCTATACCAAACTATTTTATGATCCTTGCTGTTACCACACACTTAAACTGCACATCATGACAAGAGACAGCCAGTACCAACTTTCAGTTCATACAGCAAGCTCTCCTAACAAGGTGACAACAAGTCTAATAGGCTAGGACTGGGGCTTTACAAGGTTAGCCTGTTACTAGCAAAGGCAATAAGGTTTTTACTGGGACTCTAGGGAACAGTTTCCTTCTTTTCTTGAAGGTCTTAACTAAACAAGAGAGTCTCTTCTGAAATCTAAGGTCAGAGAAACTGAGGACAGTGGATCTTGTAAAGAATCACGGAATGGAGGCCAGTCATAAGACTCTTAAGGGAGGATACTGTGCCTGTTAGGGAATTTATATTTATCAAAGCATTAAAAAGTTGTTGCAGCTCTTCTCTTTACCCCCTTTATGCACTGGGAGTTTTACAGACTGCTCTCAACGATTTATAAAGTATTTTTTAAACTTTAAGTCTTAGTATTGGCTTTTGTTAGAACTCAGTTCCAAACATTCGCATTTAACAAAGTCAGTCTGGGTTCTACTTTTCCACCTTTGTTTTTGACAACTCCTCTTTCCCCCCCCCCCCCCCCACCCTCTTAGTATTGGCTTTTGTTAGAACTCAGTTCCAAACATTCGCATTTAACAAAGTCAGTCTGGGTTCTACTTTTCCACCTTTGTTTTTGACAACTCCTCCTCCCCCCCCCCCTCCCCCAAATTCTGAGTCTGTTAACTGCAGGGATTTGTGCTTTAAACCACATCAGACCGTGAGCTTCTAAACTTAGAACTTAATGTTTCCAATTTGACAGCAGTTTTGCGCCGTAGACTTAGTGGTGCTAGTGGGGAAAAGGGTAAAAACTACTGATTCAGTGAAATAATCAGAAGTGATGAGCTAGTGTTAGCTATGAGAGTGAAACTGTTTTCAATTCTCTTTCTTTATAGTGTCTCTAAGCAAAACAAGAGAGTTGTTTACACAGTCCTGGAGCTCTCGCCATTACTTGATTCTTCCAACATGACTCCAGAGGACTGGGCCAAAATTGCAAAGAAACTTGAGGTACAATGGTGTGGGATGGTATTTCATTCGCTGCTTGCACAAAACAGCAGAATATCTAGTATATTTAGCGAGATCCAAAAAAAAGTGCAGTAGTGCTATGCTTATGGATTTATTTATTAAAAATATAAATGTTATGCAAGATGCTATACCCAGCTTAGTCACTTGCAAAGTGGTAAGTATTGTGCATGTAAGTTTGCAGGACAATTTTTCCTTCTGAAATGTTGCAAACTTATTAAAGTTATATAGTTCTTCCACTGATGAGCTATGTCATAATTTTGTAAAAGAAAATAAATTTAAAAATCGAAAATGTGGTTGAAATAAGGTATGTAATATGTAGATAGAATTGTTCTGAAGTGTTGAGTTAAATTCACTGCTCAGAAATGCTAAATAAAATCCTTAGGTATAGGTGACTTAATTGAAGGTTGCTTAGTTATGCAGCATTTGACTGTGCAAATAGCTTAATAGTTGGCTATTAACATTGAAAATAATTTCCTATCTTTCTGCCTCTCTTACTTTGCACACAGACTGACTTGACTAGCTTTGCCTTTGCAGCTGTTAGAAAAAATACTTTTGTGGTTAGGTTCCCCACACTGGGAAATGTTTAAAGCCCTAGACGTTTCCTTTATGTGTAGACAAAATCATTAAATCCTTCTCTAGATTAAAAATCATCTCTTCTCTGCTCCTGTCCCCACATCTAAACTTAAACTTAAAAACACTTAAAATCGAGGAATCAAAATCCCTTTTCCTCCAAAAGCCAGCAGATAACTTTATTCCAATGGGATGAACAGCGCCATTCATGACTTTGCATTAAACACTATCCGTAGATTGATCTTACTATAAGATTCCTTCTTCCATTGGTACAAGCCTGATGGTCTAAGGAACTTCTCAAAAAACAGCAGCATATGCAGGTAGGTACCTTAACTGTGAGCAGTTACAAGCCTATTCAGTACTCTCTGCAGCAGAAGTCCCGTACAGCTCCAGAAAGGTTGACTTCTAAACAGAAGAGGGCACTCTTACACTGGCAGTTTGCCTGCCTGCCAACTGGATTAAGTGGACTCTTTTTTCTGTATGTGATGATAGCCTTGGTTTGCCTGATCTGTTCCTATAAATGGTGTAATCCCTAAAGTAAAAGCGGTAACAAGAAATCAGACTATACTACTAATTTGCATATGTTAACATTCCTGTTTAAAGCCATTGCTAAGCTTTTCTTAATTAGCAGTCTTCTGGTTTAAAAGTGCTGCATTAATATGTATACATAGAAGAATCTCTTTGACTGCTCCATAATTAGAATTACTAGCTCTAGTGCTTATTGTCCGATTAACCCTTAATTATATTTAAACTGAAAATGTGGATAACTCTAAGAGGAATTATGCTTGTAGTACTTCTTTAGAGTGTTACACTGCTGCTTGTATCAGTGAAAAGAGTGCAGTATGCACCTCATTTGCTGATGCCAATGTGTTGGTTTAATAATGTGAAAAATCTCTCTCCACCTCCAGGAGCACTATGAAAAGTTTGATGGCTTTGTGATTCTTCATGGCACTGATACAATGGCCTATACAGCATCAGCCTTATCCTTCATGTTTGAGAACCTAGGTAAAACGGTTGTTATGACAGGATCTCAGGTAATGGACTTAATTTGAAGTTGAAGTCAGAAGCCTCATTTTCTGTTCTTATATGCAGAACTGTGTAGTAGCCTGGTGATCACTATGTACTTCAGTAATGCGGTGTGACCAGGGTGAATGGTCACAGCGCCGATAAAAATGAGTGACAATTGATGGGCTCACCAGCTGAGGATCTGCCCCATAATTTTATCCTTAGTGACTTTACAACTCTGTACCAAATCAGACCAGTAGTTCATTATGACTGGGGCCAGATGCTTCAGAAAAGGATGTAAGAGCCTGTCATTGGTCATTGTGTAATAATCTGTTTTTATGAGAAGCATCTTTCCAGCCTCAGGTGGCTGCTAGTTGTTAGCTGTCTTTTTTTTTCTTTTAAAGCCCTGAAGCATGCAGTCGTATTATTCCATCAGTTGTTACCCTGTTATTCGTTGTTCTTTGGTATCTCCTATCTTTGTTGCATTCTTCCTCATTTTTTATAATCTGTAAGCATTATAGGCATGTTTGATCATTTTTATTCCAGAAAGCATCTGACATTGTCTGTTTCTTTCACTCTAAAGACTAGATGTATTAATTTTCTTTACTTTAGCTGGAGATCAGACCTTTGCATATTGTCTGAGGGGGAGGGGTTGTTTTACAAGAACAGCTTGCCTGAGCATAAAATACAGCTCTAATCACAAAAGGGAGATGAAACATAGCACTGTAACCTTCCCCTTCTCCCCCTTTTCATAACTTTCCTTTCACATGTGGTCTATTTGAAGTCAAAATACAAAAGTCTAGGAAGGAGTAGACTCCCACTTACTGTCTTGACATTGGGCAGTCTAGTTGTAATACATCATATTCAAGGTTCTACTTTCTTTTTTGCTTTATTTTTTTGGAGATCTGCCTGACACACGATCCAGCAATAGAGCATGTGATTTTTTTTTCATTGTTGAAAGGAGCTGTGTCTCTCTATTAATAAAGAGGCAATCCAGAAAGGCATGGAAGTCATCACTATTTCACTCAGCAGACCAAATTTCTGGTTTTAATCTTGTCCTTTACTGTCAGTAGTAACCTGCTGGTTCCGTTTTTGTATTCGGTGAGGAAAGATGGTGCAAGAGAGCCGTTCTGAAGCCCATGATGAGAGTTCTGTATGAACGGAGACTATTGCTTTTTCTCCGTACAATCACTTCTCCCATGCGCAAACACTTAAGCTGAGCACGCCTGCTTCCTGTTCTTGATATTTTTCCTGAATGAGCCTCTACTTCTAAAAACAATTACTTAATCATACTCAAATCACCTCTATATTATTCTTTAAGTACTCAGTTATAAAAGTGTGTTAAGCACAGAGGGAAACCTACCATCTGCCTCAGTCTAAAATAGTTTGGATGAAGAAGTAAACTTTATTTGTCATAAATCATTGTTATATAAATTATTTATGTATTTGTATTGCGTAAGTTGTACTCTTTTTTTCTGCTGCGTAGGCTTTACATAAGGGACAGAATTTAATTTCAGTTTCTGCTCTTTAGGTGCCCCTATACGAATTGCGGAATGACGGCCGAGCCAACCTACTGGGGGCACTGCTCTTTGCTGGGCAGTTCGTGATTCCTGAGGTCTGTTTGCCTGGGAAGACTGTCTCAGAAGCTGCTTTTCTTCCTCTAGCTAGACCATATACTTAGACACTCAAAATGTCTGATAAGTAGTAAAGAGTTGCACCTAAAAAGGAAAAAGTTGATTGAATTGAGGTAACAGACCCTTGCATGACAAAGCGCATGCCTTTTTTTCAGGATTCATATACCATTTTTGCTACATACAATCTATAAAGACTATCAAGTTTGAAACGCAGGTTGGAACAGACTTGAAATCAGAGATTCCTTTGCAAACATGTGGGATCTGAAAGACTTTTAAGTCAGTTTTTGAAGTCGGAGTTACTTTGAAGTTCTGAAGTTGCTCTAGAACTGATAGCAGCATCTTCTAGTTCTGGTTCCTGAGGACTAAACTGCTGAGGATGATATACATAATAGACGTGGAAGCATCTCTATGCTCTCAGCACCCTGCTTTTAAAAAGATGATGGTGCTGCACAGGCCCAAAGCCTGAGAGAAAACTGATCAGAGTACACTTCGTTCCGGTTCTGTCTGTGCTCTCACAGGCAGTTCCTTGTAGGAGAACAGCGATACCTTACTGGCCAAGATCTTCAGAACTAACAATTTTGAAATATCTTTTTTCCTTCAAATTCCACTTGAGACACTTCAAGGGTCTTGAAAAGGGGCCTAGTTTTATATGTTTGGTGACTCTTTGAAAAATTACCATCCATTTTCACTGGGCCTTTTTTAAGGTTTTTCACGCTGAATTTAGATACAGCTGAGGAACTTATTAAAAAGTCCACACTGCTCCTTTCCTCTGTCCCTGAAGCGGACTCAAGCAAACTGGCTGTCTCCTAGACTATGCCTCATGAGAGGATTGCGAAACTAGTCAGCTCTTGACTTGTTTTGTTCTTAAATTCTTAAACCAATGTGTGACAGATGTGCCAATTCTTTTTGAAAGGGTAAGAGTTATAAACACCTACTAGCCTCTGAGTTGCTTTAAAGATTTAGAAAACACTTTATAAAGGACAGACTACAGTATTTATCTACTGAATCTTTTAATTACTGGCTTATTCATAGACCTGTTTCTTTACTTGTTTTGCAGGTGTGCCTGTACTTTTATAATAAACTGTACAGGGGAAATAGGGTGACTAAGGTGGATGCTGACAGTTTCAATGCCTTTTCCTCACCTAACCTGCCTCCACTTGCAAATGCTGAGGTTGATATTAAAAGTAAGCAACATCATCTCTTAAGCCTTGTAATTTGTGCCACATGCAATAGAACTCTAGATGAATAGAATCCATGCTTGTATAGTTGAAAGGCTGTTTTTAAACATCGGTATATATTTAAAGTCCTGTATCTTGACTCTGCTTCATGTGCTGTGAAACTGTTTAAATATTAATAAGACTTTAAGAATGTGTGATTCAACTGCATTTGTCTACTGGGGATAGATACGAGCGAGGGTGACTTTAACTAAACATTCAGACTTACCGGAGGGAGTGTTGCCCCTGTGTCATGAAGATGCTTGCTCTGAGGATAGAAATGAGGGAGCGGGTAGGACTGAAGGAACAAAGAGTTTAATGCAATTAATAACCATGCTGGGCTCTGAAGTCAGGCAAAAGAGTCATGGCAGAGTACATGCAGCTTCAACAAGCTTATGTTTGGTTCATGTCATTTTGTAAGATGGTGTAATGGATGCTTAGTACCTGTCTAAATTGCGAACACACTGAAAATAGCAGACCTAGGATACGTTCTATGAGAGTTTTGTTTTTTGTTTTGTTTTCCCTAACTTACTCAGATTCCCTACAACTTCTGTGATTCTGTTCTTTAAGGAGGGGGAAAACCTTTTTAAAAACTACCTGAAGATTACGGCATCTGTTTGCAGATGTCTGTTCTTGGATAAATGACACCCTTTCTTTGGAGAAGAGAGAAGAGAGACACATTTGGAACCTGGCCAAATGAGGATTTGCCAAAAACCCTACTCAAGGACAGTTTTCAAAAATACAAGTTATGCAAGCTGCTCTTGGGCAGCTTAAGTATATTTGAAAGGAGCAGGCCTAGATGACAAATTCCAATTTTACCTAAAAATATAGGGCTCGACACCTCCTAAAGTAACGCTCATTTGATGTTCCCATGTATGTGGTGGAAGATTGCAAATAGGGAAATAAGGGATCTGCTCTTCTCTTGCATCTCAGTTTAGATTCTCACAAGTGAAAACTAATTAAATTTCAGCCTAGTGTCTAGAGAATGCCCACTTCACTGATTTCTCCTAAAACGGTGAAGAGTAAAAATACCCACAAAAGATTTGGATCTCGGGTTGACTGCTGTTTCTTTGAGAAGTTACTTAACCTCTTGATATGTTGTTTCCTCAGACAAAAGATTTTAATCTAAATATTCCCCAACTGTTAAGGGCTAAGGAAATGTACATTAATGTTTGTGCCTATTACTGTAGCATCTCTACAACTTGGTGGGGGGAACAGTAGCGAGGGGTTCCCAAATTCTTCTGCTGGGTGCCATTAGTGGCATGCAGCATGCCATTCTGAAAGATATATACTACTAGAGACATCCTGCCGTTTCGAAAATTAAACTTGGCACCTTCACCTAATTGTGGGCATCATTTAAAGTTCGAGGATCGAGATGCTGCTATGTTTGTAAGAGTCAGATACAATCTGAGGAAGCTTGTAAAATACTGCGCGGGTCAATAAGACACCTCTGAGGTAGAGAGAATGTACCACTGTTACTTCACTGCTGCAGCAAATTGGGGAAAGTCATCTTTCTTGGGTTTTTATGAACTGCATCAAATAGGGTATAAATAAATACAGTTTTCTGACTGCTCAATAATGAAATGAAGCTGCAAATTGCATGCTACTTCTCTCTTGCATTTGAACGATTTGTTTTGTGATTCCTTGTGTGTAGTAGAAAAATGAGAAAGTTATTAAGTACTTCTCTTGGCCCATATTGGGTCCCATTGTCTTTTCAATAGAACGCCCCAATGAGATCAGTGAGGATTTCTGATTTAAAAACTGATGGTGTGATAGGCTCTATTCTTACTTGTTTCAGCTGATTACCCTGTTAGGGTAGCATCATTTATCCAAGATGACAGTGTCACTGTTGAAGGATTGTTTCATTTTGAAAAAACATAGTTTATAGAATGGGCAGTCTACTAGTGCTGCTTTATTTTCTCCAAAATAATTGTTTGAAACATAGCTGTCTTCCTTGAGACTGCTCTTACAATCCTTGTATGAAGCTTTCAGGGAGACAAGGAATCACCCGAGGCTTTTAAAAACAGTCCGAACAAATCTAGCATCTTTAACTTTTTTTCAAATGACTTTATGTAGTATGTCTTAATCTTCCTGCAGACGAGGCTGACTCTTGCTGCTTCAGCATTCCCTGACAATGCCAGCAGGAGCAGGCTACGTGCAGAAACTCTTCCTTGGGCTCCCCACTTCTAACAAATCTGGGAATTAAAATTCCAGAGAAGCTGATGGTGAAGAGGTGATAGAATGGCAGGAGTAGGGAGTGTAATGGGATAAGAGCTCAGGATCACAGGCCGGTACATAAGAAAGAGGAGAGGAAATGCTGTTCAGGGTTAGATGTATACTGTATAAAAGCAGTGATCTACTTCAGAGCCAGAGAGGGGGGAGAAAGCTCAGTCTTTCTTCCCCTCCCTTTACTAGCTGCAACTCTCTCCTTCATTTTTCATCTCCATTTTTCACCCCATTCCCCCTTCAGATGAGGCTCCTAGTGGTTTTCCAATCCCATCAACCAGTTGTGTTCTTGGCCAGGTCCTTTAACACCTACGAGTCCCATTATCAAGTTTTAGATCAGCAAGGGTGTCAGTTTTCTTGAGACTTTCAATTCAGCATAGGAAACTCTTGCAAGAAGTGAAAAATCCGGGCAAACTCCTCAGCTGGGTAACACAGTGCTATGGGAAATACTTTTGCAGCAGGATCAGAAAATTCTGTATGGAATAATGAACTATATAGGAATAAACAAACATATTTTTAAAGTCTTAAAGCTTATGAAATAAAAGGCCTTGCCTTATTTCTCTCATATTTTGAAAAGGAGAGAGGCAGAGGAGGTCTGTTTCACTCGAATTGTGTAAAGAGTCTCAGTGTATTTCATAACTGATTACTCTCCTCAGTTCTCTGTTGTCTAAATGAAGCAAATATGAAACTTGGTTTGTTATAATGGCTGGACTTTCTTCATCACACACACATGTAACTTCAGGGAGTGGTGCACGCGTACAGAACTGAATGACTGGAAACATAACTTGTGCAGGGGATGAAAGGAGTCCATGTGACTATGTGCACAGATTTGGTACTGCAGCAGCAGATTAGAAGACCCTTGTAAGCTCACCAACCCAACGGTCTCATTAGAGAGAAGCTTGGTTGGTGTCTTGGTTGGCAGTTCTAGCTATTTATAGTAAAAAGTCAAAGTCATTTATATAGTAAGGCAAATGCCAGCTCTGTTCACCGAAGTACTTTGGGTTTTTTTTTTTCTCTCGTGAGTAGGCATGCTGGTTCTTGCAATGAGACCATTCAATTTAAATATTCATTTCAAAAGGTGTGTGTCAATTGTTTTATAATAAACAGCCAAAAAGGGGGTCTGCGTTTGTTTGCCTCCTTTAGGAATTTCCACCCATAGGTTGGTCTGTGCTCCCCACCCCTTGGCTGTCGCCATGAATTCTAATGAGCACTAGGGGAGCTTATATAATGGTACAACTTGCCTGTAGCCTTGCAGAAAAGGATGAGAAGCAAGTGTTGCTGTTTGTCTGGAGCTCTGCAATCATGAAAAGCTGTATTTCCTGTTTGATTTCATAACTTGGAGTTCAGTCACCACTCCTAAGGGAGGTGTCGCGCTTAGTTACAGCACTCTCATTGTAATAAGTTGAAACCTGTGCTGTGGCATAGGCACCGCTGAACAATAGTTTTTGCTGCTTTATAGGCTGTTTAGGGCTTCTTTTTTTCTTCTAAGTTAGGTTGATTTTTTTAATCCCCCGCTAACCCTATCACCATATGCCTGTGTGTGAGTAACGCTGCATAAAATTAGGAAATTATCCTTTTTTTCTTTCTTCAATGAAAAATATTTAGGTTGTTTCCTTACTGCCTAGCTATTTGGCCCTGGAATATGAAAGCACCTGTGTGTTTTCTTAGCGCTGGGTGACCAGTATGCTCAGTAGACTAAAACTGCCTCCCCAGGGACTGCAGAGTAGCTTCTGTTCTCATCTCTTTACCCTAGTGAGGCTCAGGTGGAGAACAAAAGCTAGTCAGACTTCAGAGGAAACAAACCCTGAAGAGTTTACTTTGTGCCTTAGGTATAAATCTCTATTTCAAATTTGTTTTCCGAGCTGTAATTTTAAGAGCTCCAGTGCTTGAGAGAGAGGGGGAGACTGGGAGTAGCAGAGGGTTGTTTCTGTAATTTTTTTGTTTGGAAAAATAAACAAAAGATCTTTATATCTTAAATGCAAGGTCCTTGAATAACACAGTCTTTCCTATCCCAAGACATTGCAGATATGGTATATAAATATCCATTACCTCTCTATTTTATGTACACTGCTTTAAGAGCTTTCTGTCTTCTACGCAAGACCAATACTTAGCTTATATTTGTTCCTCAGCTTTGTATCCGTATTTACATAATGCAGTACACTGAATCAGTTAAACTCTTTACAAGCACAGCCCATCCAAGTCAGGACAGGTTACTGTTTTCTGTGTTGTGCCAAACACGAATATTCCTCATTAGTCACTCTTATCCATACGATAAAAAGCTGTTCTGAACACCAACATGTAGAGTTTGTTGTGCTTCAGCTATTTCTATGAGTTTCTTGCTTAAGGACTGTGAAGAATTCTTAAGACTTTTCTTTCTGCTTTAACAGTAAGATTGCTGTGCTTTAGGATCAGGGACTGTAGGACAGCTGGTTTATTCAGTAGAATAAAGATGCTTGAACTTAGCTATATCATGTAAATATTCTACATTTTGAGGGAATGTAATCCTTGAGATGGAGGATGCAAAGGGCGTGTTTTCTGCCCTGCATAAAACTCTGCCTCGCTTAGAACAACTCTGAATAACTCTTAGATGAATTTGGGCTTTTGTGTATATTTGTTTGTGTTTGACTCTTGCATCACTCTGGCCTTTTGCGCTGCCTTTCACACTTTTTGTCTAATGGAAAGCTGACATCTGTAGAAATTATGCTGCTCTCATCACTGCGTTCATGGTCTGCAGCACGGAGCACCTTACGTAGACTGACGAGGTTCAGAACCCTAAGAATGTTAACTCAAGGACAGTCTTTGGTCCTTTCTTAATATAGCTAGGAATTGACATCACAGTACTATGTCTGAATTCCACATATTCATATTCCAGATTGCATCTATCTGGAAGATGATGTGTTATGTGATAGCGTGTACTCCCAGAGTACAGGTATAGGCCTGGTGTAGGCCTCATTTCTGAACCTATCCTCTGATCTCTCTCTCCTTAGTCTTCTGCTTTTGGCAATATCTTCTTAGTGATCCATGCCAAGTTAGGAGTTTCCTCAGTTCATTCTTCAAGTTTGTTACAGACATTAGAGATGCTAGTAGTTGCCAAACTTTGTAGTATGCGTTTGTGAAGTCTTGGCAGGGACTCCTAGCTTATGGAGGATGAAGGAAAGAAAACTTTGATATAATTTTATTGCTGTCCCTGCCCATAGAGGAGGCTTCTTTTAAAGAATTAAAGAATTAATCTGTTTGTTAGAAGGTTGAAAGGACTGGATTTATCGCCAAACACGGTGGTCTCTTAAGAAGCAGTACTGATTGAGTGAACATAGTGAGCCTGACGTATGGACCTCAAGCAGAGCAAATGCATGGCTCTCTGCACCCACCCAGGTACCTCCTGCAGGTCTCTGAACTTGCTCCAGAACTAGCTCACGGAGGCCTTTTAGAGCTATTTGGCCAACTACTAAATTCAGCCAGGTGATTTCAGAACTGTGCTGGTAAGCTTCTCACAAAGAAACTATAGAAACAGTCTGTTTCTGTTGTCCCTTTCCCAGAGAATAGGAATAAATTTGCTGAAGTTTGCCTGATAGGATAAGCAAAATGCCAAGCCAACTGCTCGTGAACTGTTTTACAATATATGGTTCAGATGTTTACTCATATAATTCCAGGATTTAAAATAGTTGTTTTTCAGCAAGCGCATACAGAGCCTCTACTTGCCGAGAGCATACTCGGGCACCATGACAGGAAGGGAAAGTTCAGAATTGTCTTATAGGGGACTGCTATTTTCTGTCCTGACTTTGTGCAGTGTAGTTTTTAGTATCTCCGGTAATGGGGCAAAAGAGCAGGCGTCAACGGAGGCTCTTAAATGTACTCTGATTTTCTTGCAAATGCCTGTCTGCTGATGGCGAGAGATTGCAATAGTAATTGGTGTGAGTAACTCTTCACATGGCTGAGAGCAAGTCAGTATTATGCACTTAGATCTTCTCTCTGTTCTTACTGCTTGGGGTTTTCTCCAAAAACTAAAAAGCTTAAATCTCGATGAAGAAACAGGTAGCTTTATGGCATGGTCTACTCTCACTGAAACATGACGCTCTGAGCTATTGGCTGTTGTTTGTTAAACCTCTTCCACAGCCATCTAGGTGTCATCAGAGCTACCAGCACTGTGCTCTTGTATTGGAGCAGTAAAATTTTGAAATCAATAATGCATGACTTGGCTTCTAATAATGCAACAAAAACAAACTATTAGTTAAACAGCTGGCTTCTGGCTCTAAATGTATAATCAGAGTTAATTGAATCCCTGCTATTTTATTTAATCATTAGTAACTACATAATAAACTCTGGAGGTGATTAGTGGCAACAGTAACTGCATTGGTCTTTATTATGACATTCAGAACTTGTCATATCTTTTATGTCCGAGAAGATGAAGGTCTGCTTTCTAAACATTAATTCAGGTTGATATCAGTCCAATTACAAAGCAATGAAGTTCTGATCAGTGTGTGACAAGTAAATGTCTCACTTATGCTACGTACTGTTCTGTTGGCTGAGGCTTTCTAAGCACTCTGAACTGGGAAATTTGTCACTGGCAGGACACGTTCAACATTGTGAACTGGTCAGGCCTTGTACTCAAGTGCTTTTCACAGCTATGAGATTTCTCTTTGGGAGAGGTTATAAGATGGGTATATAGAGTTGTATCTGATGGATCATCCTGTTCACTAGTGGAGATTGAACAATCTATTTTGGAAGTCTTTACTCTAAAATACTATTAAATTGAAGCAAGTATGCTTGTTGAGTATCTCTGGGAAGTGCACTAGTGTAGAAATATTGAGGAATAATTCTGATTTATCTTGGAATCTAAGCTATTTTGGAATTAAAGCTACAATATAACACAGCTGAGCCTGACCTGGATGTGACCTTAAACACATATTTCAGTGGCATTTAATAAATAAGATGTGTTAGATTAGCTGCTATGGCTGCTGTCTTTAATGGGCCTTCATTTCCTCTTTTTAAAAATACATTGTCTTGCATGAATCCCCTACATAGGAAACAGTTTTAAAGATAATGCTGTAAGTGTGAAGTGCTACAAGTGTACTTAATGTTATATCTTCAGTATTAAATCCGGATGGCCATTTCTCTTTAACAGTAAACTGGGATACAGTGTGGAGACCCAATTCCAAAAAGAAATTTAAAGTTCACACCAATATGAACAGGAACGTTGGGCTTCTGCGAATCTTCCCAGGAATCACCACTGCTGCTGTAAGTGTCACCACTTAATTTTGGACGTGGATGAAATGATGCTCAAAACTCGTTTAACCAAGTTAGCCAAAGTTCGGAAGCTGCAGTGTTGTAGCAGTGGTTGGGTTTTTGGAGGGAAGGGAAGGTATCTTGTCTTCTTCTGAAAATCATTTTGTAATACCACGGCATTCAAAGACCATTTTCATGTCACAAGCTATTGACAAAGGCTTTTAAAATATCTTTAATCTAAACTGCCTGGGCTTTGGAACTGAAAATCAATTTCTTACCGGGGCTAATAATAGGTCAAGTGTACTCTTCTGGACAGGTACAAGCTACAGGCATTGAAGCATAGTAGTAAATATCTTGCCTAAGAACACACAATATGGGGGGGGGGGCATGGAGGGGACCGTGGCTTTTTCTGCAACTCATGTTTCTTTCTTAAAGTTCAGTTCCACTCACAGTGGTGGTTAGGATGACCTCCTGCACTGATACAGAGCTGAAGATGATAAGTGGTATTTTGCTGCTCTGAGCCTTTTAGAAATTGTTTTGCAGAACTGTGGTTGCAAGTAGTTTGTGTCCTTTCAAATTTTTTCTCTAATACCATTTCCATTAAAGTGGCAGGTCTTTCATGGCTGTTGCCACCTTAAATTGAATCCAGTAGTTTAAGCAGCATTCCTCAATTATATTAGCACTCTTTTTAGGTGAATATGAACAGATGGAAACGCAGAGGGGTGATATACTTGTAATAAAACTCCAGCTGCCTAGCTAACCTCATGGGGGATTACAGTGTATTGTATATAGCATATGTGATCAACAAAGAAACATCCAAGTTGTCTAAAATACATCTTTTTAGGAAGAGAACTTTGCTAGGCATCCCCTTACGGTGAGATACAGTAGCTACCTCGTTAACAACCGGCCGAGAGTGAATTAGTGCCTCCTTTTTTCTCTGCTATGAATTAAATGAATTGTTTCTTGGGTTAAAAAACTCCAGGCTTCATTACAATGTTCTTTTCTGAAAGGTGAGAAGCTATCTCCCTTAGAAAGGCAGACATTTATTGGCAAAACTCTTGTTCACTAAAGTAATGAATTTGGGCAAGTGTTGGGAGTGGGGGTTCTAATCTCAATTAATGAATTATTCTGTATTTATTTAGTAAGTGTAAATCTAGCTTTTTGTTCCTCCACGGTGCAACAGTATAACCTGTTAATGGCCCTTAAACAATAGCATCCTTTTTCACGCTGGAGTCATGACTGTAGCAAATAGTTTATTTTAAAGTCTATCTCTCTAGGAATTTTAAAGGCAACTAAAGAGTGAAATTCTTATTTTTTGTAAACATTCTCTCCAGTCCCAGTTATTGCAAACTGAGGGAGCACAGAAGGGCATGAAGAGCTTCCTGTAATATTCTAACAGGAATGGACGATTCTTTAAAACTCTGTGCTGCATATAAAAATCTTGCTGTGACTTAAACGCATCATTTGGCTCTCTTTCTTCTCTTGTTTTTAAACAGGTAAAAGCGTTTCTTCAGCCTCCAATTGAGGGCATTGTACTTGAAACTTATGGAAGTGGCAATGCCCCAAATAACAGAGAAGACTTGATAGAAGAACTGAAGAAAGCAACTGAACAAAAAATAGTGATTCTAAACTGTACCCAGTGCTTAGGAGGATCTGTTAAAACAGTCTATGCTACAGGGCAGGTGAGGGTTGTGCAATGATTTCAGGCTTCAGTGCTGTGTAAAAGAAACATTTCACTGATGCAGCTTGGTTGTGTACTTCTAGTAGTCCCACTAGTTCCAGATTTTTTTAGACTATAAAGATATTGCTTATAAAATAACCATATCAGAAAAAGCTTAAGCTGGAAGGATTTAAATAGCTGTCTGCAAACAAGATCCTGTTACTTCTAGTCTGAATGGTCTAAATAGTCAGCTCAAATCCCAAATTACTTACTGCTGGCTCCTGTTGTGTGCAGCATTCCAGGATACCATTGCATTATGTTGTTAGTATCCCTCCCAAAGGGATGCCACTGAGCTAGAAGCCAGCTTGTGGGTCAGATGGTCAAATAAAGTAATATTTGAAAGGCTAGCAGTTACTTATTTGCAATAGAAGAACATTAAGAAAGCCTGCAAAACCAAGCAGTATTCCAAATGCCAGCATTTATTTGTCCGAAAGTGCAACTGTATTCAGTGAGAGATTGGTAGAACAGTTTCTAAGGAAGCATCCATCTTGCAGAGTGGAAAACAGTTGTTTTTAACCCAGGAAGGCTAGCTTAAAACAGACTTTATGTAGATACTTTGAATGTTCAGGACATTTTATAGTGAATTTTTTAATTTTGTAATAAGACATGACATCACTGAGACTAAGAAGAGCTCAAAGCCGTATGAGAGTATGTGTTGCATGTGATAGTGTGAAGGAAGCTGATTTAATTCACCTTTATAAAAAGGCCAGCCATTAAATATCCAAGAAACACTGCCAGAGGGTGACTCATCCCCCTATTTTAGACACCTGTTTTTGCTGGGAGCAACCACCCATCTGGCAGAGCTAGCCCCTTCCCTGACTCTAAGGTGAACTTAGATCCTCTAGACTGGTGCTGAAATCTGCCTATGTTAACATTGTTTTTGACGCCGCTTAGATTATATTTGCTTCAAGAACACATAGTCTGCTGTTTTGAGCAGAAAGGGAAGGAGCTTGTAAGAGTCTGTTTTCACTTCTTCAGTATTTGAATGTTATATCTTCTAACATGGGCTGTCACTTGGGAGTTGCTAAAATTTTTCTCTCACTTAAAGGGGGGGTCTTCTGAGAAGTGATCGCGTGATCTCTAGCAAATACAATAGGAATGCATGGATTATATGGAGCAGTTCACCCAGAAAGAAGAAAGAGTTGAGTCAGTAAAAGACATCAAATTTGTATTTGCAAAGCAACATGAAAATGAGGCCTAACGTTTATGCAATCTCCTCCTTAAAATGAACTGCTCAAATGCTTGGGAAGAAAAACCTCTTTTCTGTGCTCTGGTTAAAATATTCTCCAAACAGACACCTCTAAAAATGGCTTTTGCTATTTGCAGTCTGATCCTCAGTGAGTTGGTAGGTTTAATTAAGAGATTCTGGTCAGGTCACTAGCATTTGTCTTACTAAACCTCTGTAAGACTATGTGGAAAAGTGTTCACTTCTGGCTTCATGTTTTATGTGGAGCATGTATTATATTGCTTCAGCATCCGTTGAGGGAAGCTGTCCTGTTTTCTTGGCATCTGTTGAGGAGAATACTGATAAAGTCAAATCCTACAAAAGTACTTTATGCTTGTTTTTTCATTGACTTAGCCTTTTCATAAGGAACTGCTCTGTGGAGGAAGTATCATGGATGAGCGCTGGAAACTCTCTGTAACGTTAGCTTTACTTTATTTTTTATTTAAATACAACCTTTTACAGATCTTTGCATATAGGCAGGCCGTCTTTTATGCATTCAAGCTAGTCAGGTGGCTCAGCTGAGTCCATAGTTCCCCTTGAAGTATTTGTTTTAATTAACTGAATGTCTGGCCTCTGATCCATCTGCACAGCAGAAAGTTATAATTGAGGGGACTTCAGGTGTAGGAAGGAAGCTGGGAAATCCCTTCGTCCTCCTTTTTCCTAAGCCCACTGAAAAACTCCTAACTGTTCCTTGGTTCTAAATGCTGGCTAGCTCTCCATTTCTCATCTTCTCTATAGATATTTTTCCATGGACTTTTAAAAATGTCAGTTTGGGGCTCTCAGAGGTAGTTAATGAACTGATTAGGGCACTGTATCTTGCTAAAAATTTAGTTAAGCCACACCAAATTTCAAAACTGCAATTTATGCACAAGGAATTTAAAAATAAATCAGTGTAAAGAACCTACTGCAAGATGCTTAACTTTGAGGCATCGCATTATAATAAACCTGACGGTCTGTGGTTTAGAGAAAGCCTGAGTATTTGCCCTGGTACAATTCTCAGTGGCAGGAGATCTGAGATCTCTTTTGTCTTTGCTGCCTTGCTCACAGTGCACTTAGAGAGCTCGCTGGCCATAGCAAAGATGGTTGGCTCATTTCTGCTTTTTGCTTTAGTTCAGGTATTTTTTTTAACTACTGAGAAGATAAGTTAAAAAGAGTAGGTCGTCTTTTTGTAATTGTTCTTGTCAGACCTGTGTAAATTATGTATTTCATTGGTAAGTTCTAAATCATACACTGCTGGTGCAGCCTAGAAAGATGTGAAAACGCTCCTGCTGTGAGCGCACTGTCGTGCTGGAATTCATCCAGAGTAATACCCCATAACAGAATGGTAAATATGTCTGTGAGAGAACAGCCTACTTGGCAATGTTCAAAATGCCACTGGGTTAAAACAGAGTGACTGCAGCTTTTCAGCAAAGGTAATCTGACAACTCTGCAGATAGCTGATACGGACCTGTAACCTTTCCATTTTAGCACAGGTAAATGACCATGGCAAGTGTTTGGTTAAATACTTTCCAGTGTTCCTGCATGAAAAGGAACTTAAAATGGAAGTCCTCTTTGCTCAGCTGGGTCTAGTATTTGCCAGACATTTGATAACTAAAATAACAAAAATTACAGTGGCAAAGGGGCAAGACTCCACGGATGTATGGCTGTATGTTGTATTCTGTGTGGTTCCCTATCATTCATGTGCATTTTCTCTACACATGCATATTTCTGAATGCTATGCTAATTGGAGTCATTATTTCTTTTTATTCAGACTCTTGCTGATGTTGGAGTAATTCCTGGAGGTGATATGACACCAGAGGCAGCCCTAACTAAACTGTCATACGTGCTCAGCAAGAGTGAGCTTAGCTGGGAGGAGAAGAGGCAGGTAAATATTTCAGAGTGACCTTGAAAGGCTTTAACTTTCTCGTCTACTGTGCTAGCTTCTGTCTAGCTGAATGGCTTGAGCTTCTCCCTTGCATTTAAAAGCAGTTGATTCCAGAGCCATAATGTGATTATCATATGTTTTTTTCTTATGGAAAATATTGTTAGGCAAATAAATATATGGAGATTTGGAGAGAAGAGAATTCTGTGCGTAAATCAGTTGAAAACCATAACCAAGCCATAAAAATGCTATTTTTAATTGCAGTAGTCTACTCTGGACGTCTCTCTGCTAAAAACCTGTATGTGGAAATTCGTAAGGGAGGCAGAATTCTAGCCCCACTGAAGGCAGGAAAGATCTTGTCGTTGACTTTAATGAGGTGAAGATTGCATCCAAGATTTGTTCACCCAAGGCTAGTTCTGAAAATAAATGGTGCCTACAGCCCCTTCCTTTACAGTGTTACTCAGGTCGATGTTAGATTTTGTTTCTCTAAGATGGGATGCGTTTTGTAAATGCATCAAAAATAAAGGATTATCTTAAAAACCAGTTGTAACTGGTTTTAATATCTTAACCCATTTAGCAAGGTTATTTTTATTCGTTGGTGTTTAATCAAGGTATTTCCCCCAAAATAATACAGTTCCTTAATACAGTGAATCTCTAGCTCTGTGTTAAATGCCCTGACTTAGATAGGAGAGCAGCAGCCTGCCAGAATGCATATTTCTGTGCTTGTATGCAGTGAAATCATAATCCTGACACTTTAGGTAATGACATCATGATGAGTCACTCTCTCGACTTAAGCTGGGCATGCACACGTGTATCTGATGATGGTGGTTTGTTTTTATTAAAGTTGAAACAAATTTGATCATTCTTTCATGCTCAATATCTTCCAGCCAGTAGCAGCTCTGAGACCGACAGATCATGATACCTATGATCATGACTTGCGTGGGTGGAAGTACCGCTTACCATGCTTAGGAATAGTTTGCAGATAGTTTGCAGATTGTGAGCTTTCACTTGTTTGATAAAGCCCTTGATCTGAAAAACGGAAGGAGAAGGGGCTGTGCGTCTCTTATGTGAGGACGGCAATAATATACTCTGTGCAAGAACATGATGCAAGAACAGTTGACATAATGCTATGTGAAGAGTGGTGGTATTTTTCATTAATGGTGCCTAAACATTAGAAATCTGGTGCTGTGAATTCAATGTTGTTTTGCTTCCAAGTGAGCGTGTTTTTATATATGCTTTAGAAACCAAAGCTCTGCACTGATGCCTCTTTGGTAAGCTCACTAACCTGGGCTGTGAGTATGCCAGCCTGCTTTTTAATGTAGATTTTGTTATTCTTGCGCAGAGGAATGTTTGACCTGGGACAGGAGAATCTTCCCCAGCTGGCTTTCTGCCTAGGTTTATGGGTTAAAACTTAATTTGAGACCCAGTTCTCCGAGACAATATAGCTGAATTACGTAGGTAAGGACTTGGTGATACGACATCTTAGGCACCACTGGCCCAAGGTATCCCTGCACCTTCATGTGCTGCCCTTTGAAATGTGCTGCACAGTGTTGATGAGGTAGTGGCAGGAGCTTCTTTATATGGCTTGAAAAACAAAATGACTTCTGCAAGTTCTTTGAGTTAAAGCGGGATCGGTTTCCTCGTTTGAGGAATGTCTGTACAATGGTAGAGACCCACAAACAATTGTGTTGGCACAGCTAAGGGAGCAGCTTGCTGCATTGCCTGGGCAGGAATTGAATGGTAGAGACCAGGAGGAGAAGGAAGCTTGGAAATATGTTGTCTGTGGCAATATCTTCAGCTAAACATATCACCAAACAATAGTCTCCCAAGAGATGGAAGCTCTCCTGAAGCTGACGTGGTTATTTTAGGATTCTCTTCCAACACAAAGGAGCAAGGAATGTGCCCCCAGACACATGCAAATGGCTGCAGAGCTGATGGAGCGGAGTAGTGCGCACAGGGCTTTGCGCTGGGCACGTTTAACACAGGTGCCAATTGCTGAGGTTACCTGTGCGAAGCAATGATCTCAACCTGTCGAACTCTAAAAGTGCACCAAAGCAGTTAGTATCCCCTGAGAGAGTTGCACGTATATGTTACTCTTCCAGCAGACAGCTACGGTATCGTCAGTGCTTGGAGGTTTTTTTTCATAAAAGGCATGCCTAGACATAAGTAAACCCAGGGCATTCCTCCTTCCAGCATCACATCTGCTCTTGCAAACTTTCACAATCCTGCTTTTTAAAATTCTAATTGAAGCAACTGCGTGCTTTATAGCTGCATCAGCAACCTTTAATGAAAGAGTGCCAGTATGTAAATTATCAAAACTGAGGAAACCAGTTGCTTTCTCTTAATGACTGGCTTCAGTCTTCCTGTTCTCCAGATCTCACAGAGCTTAGCTTTTAGAGTATTTTCGTTTTTTTTATTGCCATGTTCAAGCATCTATGCAGTGAACTAGCTATCTTTTTTTTCCCCCCCCGGTTGCGTTGGATGCACCTCTACGGCCAATTGTTACACTCCTGCTTTAATATTGAATGACTAGTTCTGCTCTAGACCCTCTGCATTCAGAGCTGAATTTGTGGCCAAATTTTAACAAAATCAGGGCTAATGAACCTGTCTGAAAATCAAATGAAATAAATGACTCTGTCTGCAGGCCACCCTGGGGTTTGTTTTGAGGCCTAAGTACACTGTCTGGGCAGGAAGCGTTTAGACAGACCGTAATACTGAGTTTTGGGAATGGAGCATTTCAGATGGTTCTCCTCTTCAGGCTTACTCAGCCAATTATTCACTATCTTTGCGTTTTCAAGAAGGCTGTAGCTTAGCCCATTAGGGATCTTTTGTCTGCATACTCTTAAAAATTGGGATGTTTTGTTATGTGCTTATCTTGATTTCTTTGCTTTAGAGGAAAGTTTTCTTTTCCTGCCCTTCCTCCCCCCCCCCCCCCCCCATTTTTTCTTTTTAAGCTTGTAGTCTTCATCATACAGTAACTGTTTTTTTAAAACTTTTGTCTGCAATCAATTAGTTTCCATAGTTCTTCCAAACGGTTTTCTAACTTGATCCTAAGATTTTTTCTTAGTCTACTACCGTTTTTTTTTTCTCTGCTAACAAAGGATTTGATTGCTCGTTTTTCAGATGCTGAGTAACAATCTAAGAGGAGAAATGACTGTTGTACCCACAGGAGACAAGATCTCTCTGAGAGATAGCAAGTTTATTCAACTAATTGCCAAATCTTTGAGTATCGGCTGTAAGGAGGTATATACTTAGATATTTAAAACTGAACTCATGTAAAGCTGTAAACTCACTTAAATGAACCTAACTTAAAGGTGAAAAACAAAGCCCCCCCCCCAAAACCCCCCAAAAAAAGAAGGAGCACTGGGTATTTTTTATTATTTTTATTATTTTTTTAGTACTGAGCGTCCCAGCTAACCAGTTAGGCGAGGGAGAAGGGACACAATGACAAGCATAACATTAAAATGTTTTTAATTAAAAGCATATTAACTTTTTTTGTTTCTTCTTCTTTGTAGCTTCAGCTTGAGTTTGTTTTCTTGGCTGGCTGGGTGCGTGATCACAAGCCTCAGAGAGTTGCTCAGTTGCTGTAATTCAGGGTATCCATGATATAAAGAAAGTGCTCTGTATTTTTGTGGTCAAATATATCGACAGTTTGCAGCAATACAAGTAATGAGGGGTAAAACAACTTAAGTGTACATGCAGTCAGAGAAGGCTGCTCCTAAGGAAGGCACTACATAAGCAGTATTAGTCCCTCCCAATCAGAAAATAAGAAAACATAATACTGTTTGTTCAGTGAAGAGCACTGCAAGATGCAAGCATTTGCTTTTCTCTTGCCTTGGTTACAGGGAAGGTGAGATTTTTAGTAACTAATAAATACTGAATGTGTGGCTCGTCTTTAGCATGTATGAGAAATGGGAGAATATTTAAGAGGCCTGTGGATTTATCAGTGGAGGTTTGGAAGTACCGGTTGCACAAATATCTGAGGAATCACATGGATAAGGTTGATCCAGTCTTGAGGAGAAAGGACTGTATGGTCTTTTACAACTCCTTCCAGCCCTGTTTCTCTTACTGTACTGTTGTGTAATTTTGGCAGTACACAGATGGCAATTAGTATGTGCACCTAAAATGGTATATATAGATATCAGGTAATTATAGTGTTGCTTGGAAGGGAGGAATATAAATCTTCGCAGATGTGAGACCTACAAAATGTAAAAATAAACATAAGACTTCTTTCCTTCCAAGAACTAAATGCTACCATTTCTAAATATCCAAAAGTTTAATTTGGAAACTACGTGAAAGCATAAGGACAGTGTTTTTATGACTTGGACATCAATCATATTAGATACAAGAATGATATTAAATGTTTATCTTTATTTGTTTCTCAGGAATTAGAAGCCATAAGAGATGCATTAATTCCACCTTTGGCTTGTGCTGCAGCTAAACTGGGTGACATAGATGCACTAAAAGCCATACGAGAAATGGTAATGTAAAATAGTTTGTACCAAATATGACTTTTTTAATAGAGCTGTAAATGACTGGGTGGAAGCCATGCTCACTGGGTCATAACTACTCAAGTCTTAGAATCAAAGTACTTTTGACTAATACAATTGGTTTGTAGGCACTTCAGTCTTTGCCTTTCAAAACTGGTATGTTCTTTCCCCCTCTGCTTCTCAGCTATTACATTTTCTTTTGAACAGTGAAAATACAGATAGTTTAATATGCAAGTTCTTATCTGATAACTTTGGAACAATTTAAAATGGTTTGTACTGCTTTCCTTCATTTAACTTTCTTCATGCATATTCATAGTATCCACCTTTTGGATGTAAATCTTTCATGATGAAAAAAAGAACTGGAAAATTATGTTGAAGCAAAACACAGTTCGATGCTAAATCAGGGTTTGGGCTCTCCCCATAGCCCCAGCTTGGGTTATATCTAAAAAAAATAGTAGTACAGTCATTTCCCAGTATCACTTTCTACACCTCTTTTTTTTTTTTTTCTGTTTGCCCTGGCCAACGATCTACTCTTGAGACTTTGGTAATGGGCCTAGAAAAAGGATGAAAGTATCTTGAAAATAACAATAAACTGAGACAAGTTAAAGTAGCAGACTGCGTGCATAGGCAGAAAGCTGCTGTGTGGTGTACTGCAGTAAACAGCATACCTGAAAGGGCTGCAATGAGATAATGTGCAGGGGGCTGGAACATGGGAAGGTGGAATATTGGCACGGAAAACAACACTGCAAGGTAAAATTTATGCAAGTTTGACAAGCTTAATATTTTTTTGGCTGAATTAAAATGTGATATAGGCATCTGTTGTTGTACCAACAATTTCCTGTGCAGCCATGATCTTTTCAGCATGTGAAGGATCTGTGCTTTCGCAGGGGGGAAACTTGAGCTCTGGAGACTACGATGGCCGAACTCCACTTCATATTGCAGCCTCTGAAGGGCATCTACCACTAGTTGAGTATCTGTTGATGTGTGGTGCAACTGTTTATGCTAGAGACAGGCATGGATCTACCCCGCTGATAGATGCGATCCGTTTCAGGTAACAAAAGTAATTTATACACCACTCTATGTAAAGTTTATAAACCTTATTTCTGTTTGCATTTTAGTCCATCCCTGTTGGTAGCTTTTAGAATGAGCAATCATATGTAAATTACAGCAGTTAAAATAACACAAAATAGCTTCATTTCAAAGGATGTGACTAGCCTAAATTAAAGAATTTTTAAAAATAATTTCAAATGAAAGCAAACAACTTTGTACAGATGCAGCATTTTAGCACTAAGGTAACTTATTGCTGCCTTCCCATCAAGTCTTTGTCCATATTTTCAAGACTCCGCTCTTTGCTATGAGCCTTCCTTATAAAACGTAACCGGACTAAACACTGATTTTGACTGTCAGAAGGGAGCAGGCAGGACCCCGGGCTGTCTGTTTTCTTTCTGCCCTCTCCTTTCTCATGAAGACCAGACTGTTTCAGTTGGCACAAACTACATCAGTAGGCTGACATGTTTTAATCTTTCCCTTCTACCTGTGCTTCTTCTAATCTCTTGCTGGGTGACTGGTTCTTTGATTTTTCTCTTCCACCCACTCATAATTACATACATTGGATTCATGACTCTGCCTGGCCTGTGGATTACCTCTTCCTGTCGTTCTGAATGTCAGCAATTCTTGAATGGTAGGCATGGACATGCCGTTTTGCTGGCCTTCTCCATGTTGCATAGTCTTAAGGAGTGGCCATGGCACAGAATACTAAAGTAATCCGTTACGAAAGATCAATTCCAAACACTTAGTTTTTATACCCTGGGGATTCACAGAGCCATCGGTCTTCCAACTTGTTAGAAGCTGCATGCCCTGATCTCTTCATGTGTCTTTGATCTACTTTCAGCTCCTTATCTCATGTTCCATCTGTACAATGGCAGGAGAGAAGCTCTTTTCCATAGAGGAGCTTGGAGTGATAGAATTTCAATGGTCTTCATGGGTGTTTGTCCCCAAATATTCCTACAGCTTTCAAATGTTGACAAGTTCACCTGGTTGGCCAGCTCCCAGGTTAGCTCCCAGGGAAGTCTGGCAGTCCTGTTTATACATTGATTGCAGGAATAACCTGAAGGCTTTTTTTTGTCTCAAGGACTTGATGTAGAAAACTCAAGAGGCCCTGTTAACTTGAGACTTGGAGTCCTGTGTGGACACATTGTGCTATTGCCATACTACTGCACGATCCCTTATGGCTTTATAGTTGTTGCTTTATTTTAGGAATATATAAAAGCCCTTCAGTGGCCAACCCTTAAAGTCTTAAAGCAAAAACAAGCCCAGCAGCAAATCAAACAAATAACCTCACAGTTGAATAGAGGTGGCCCTAGTCCAATGTGAGAAAATGCTAAAGCATTAGATACCATTAGATGTTCCTGCAAATCAGGCACCTACTTTTTTTACCGCACCCAACTACTGCCTGAGGAATTTCACATGAGCATGTTGTTTGGATTCCTTAGTGTTGCCACTCCTATATTAGACTCCTACTATGACTCTTAAGCTCTTTAAAGCTGCACACCCAATTTGATATGGGGAACTGTAAAATGAAACTGCACCTTAACCATTTTCAGTTTCTCTTTTTGTTTCTACTGTTGGAATGAGGGGAAGAGCTGACCTAGAACTAATCTCATAAATTTGTATTTAAGATCTGCTATATGCTTGCACTGCATTTTACACTGATAAGCACGTAAAGGAGAATTGTAGAAATCTAGTAGCTGTACATTTGTATAAATATATACCCACTAAAAAGATTTCTGCTACAAAAATATTTAAATTCTATTTATTAAACAGCTATGTGCTGTAAGTGAAGAGATGAACCTGATGCAACGTACTAAGTGGCAGAGAGGGAAGAGGGAAAACTGATCTTAATGAGCAGTCAATGCTTTAAACTGTTTAATATTGCAACTTTCTCAATGTTACTGAATATTGCATCAGCTTAATCCCATTTTCTAAGAATTAATTTTTGTTTAATTGGAATATAATTGCAGTACAATATCCACTTATCTTAAAAATAGCTTTCTTTCAGCTTTGGATGTCACATTTCTCAGTGGCTTGCCTTTTAACCTAACATGCAAATATGTTTAATGATGATTGATTTCTCTTTTCCATTTAATAATTTGTAAAAATGGTCAGGAGTTATGTCTCTTCTTAAAAGCTTCTTGACATAACACTGTCAGCTTGTAGACCAGCAATTTGATCTGTAGTCTCTTACATTATCAATGATATTTTCTTAAATTTTTTGTCTTTAAGTGACTTTTTTTAAAGTCACTTTAAGTGACTCTTCCTTTGTTTGTTTAGATTGCAAGATGTGAAATCCCTTTCTAAATAAGGAATAAACTACTGCATTTCTGCTTTTTCATTTCATTTTTCAAACTGTGCAATTTGCCTGTAATCTCATTCACTTTATGCGTGAAGCTAAGTGGACCACTGTTAATTTGGGCCAGTTACTTGACATATAAAAATTAGTAGCATTCCTTTAACTTTTTAGAATACCCTCAAGGAATAATTCATTTTCAAAACAATAGAATAATACTTTTTTAATAACAGAAACTCTTCTAAGCAGGAAAATGTCCTGAATAAAAATCGTGCATATTTTATGTAGTAAAAGCACTTCCATTTACTTGTAGTAGCGTGGTAAAAGGTTGAAAATAGGGAGTTGTTTGTGTAGCGCTGTGAGAACATCAGATTAGAGGCAGTAAAATTACCTCCCACATAAATATGAATTTAAATATTTGATATTTTGCAAGGTTACATTTACATTACTTCAGGAAATCTAAGACAGAGTGAAATTCTAAACATTGCTGACTCCAAAAGTACACTGAAGTCTGTCCTTACAGTATTTGAGTATAAAATCCCTACTGCTATTACATGGAAAACTGAACGAGGAAAACTAAGCCTATCCTGCCATAACCATTGCAGTTGCTGGGGAAGCAAGCATTAAAAAGAATGAAGCCGGTCAAGTTTGGATATACACTTACACCTGCGTTTCTTTACAGAGAGTTGGTGGAAGGTGTACACCCTGAGGCCCCCATCCTGCAAACTTTTACATGCATGTTAATTTCACATGTATGATTCATCCCTTTGAAGTTGATTCACTTTTAGGAAGTGTCTGCCAAGGCAAGGCCTAAGATGATCACGCTGTACAGCACTTTGATCGGGGTAAATCCAGAGTACTCATGAAGTGATAGAAGTTCTGATGCCTTTATCCGGAGCTCAGACTTGGTCACAGCAATGAATATTTGAAGACCATGCCAAACCATTTATTTTTGCTTTTGGCCCATGAAAAAGAGTAGATATAAATTGTCTTTTTATCTCCACTGTTATCAATAATGGAATCTAGCAGGGCGAAGACACTGGAAGCGCTTCTTGTCTATTTGTTTTTTCCCTCCGAAGAGAAAACATATGACAGCGGTAGTATTAAAAGGCTAATTTAAGCAACATATGCAAAATAGCCTTGTTTCTAGAGCATATGTCCGACCAACATCCACAGTTAGATAACAGATGTTGGAGAGCTTAGAAAAGAAAGAGCTGGCCGTAGTTGACAGATGACAATAGCTCCTCATGGCTCTTGCTTATCAGACGGGGCTAGACTGGACAAGCAGCTGTGTACCCCAGGGCCACCATGGTGATGTTGGCCTTTCTCCTACACTTTGAACTTTGATTATCCTGTGGTTGCTCTACTGCTAGTTATGGGCTGTAACCTCAGAATGGGAATCACATCTGAACTGTTCCAAAGCTTATGGCTAAAGACATAGTTGAACTTCTGATCTGAAGGTCAGCTAAACTGTGATCATTCTGAGGCTTTATTAAAGCCACAGAAAAGTAGCACTTAAGGAAACAGCTTCTAGAGAAAAATAGCTCTCTTGCACCTGAAACACATAATAAATATCATAAAGTTCAATGCTAGCCTCTTGAAATATGAATAATACTCTTGTGCGTAGGTATAAGATAGCAGAAGTGGTACTCTAGATAGAGCTTAAGTTTCTTTAGAGTGGGGATACTGGCTGGATGCAAATAGGAACAAGCTGCTGTATGACTAACCTCCTGCATAGCTTTCATGTTGAGTGATAGGAGTGATAGGAACATGGCAGTCCATTCACTTTCTCAGACAGAGCTGTTCTTCACAGTCATAGTACTAAATTTAACACTTTTAAGTTGTGCATCACTATTAGTCCTTATTCTTTTTCTCTCCTAACAAGCTCCCCCTTACCCCTCCCTTAACGAGGTGTGGTATGCCACCCTTCCTCTCCTTCCTGTCATACCAGGAAACACGATCTTGAGCTACTCATTGTCCTCAGGATAGTATACTTTTGTTTATAGCTGTCATTTTGTAAACACTCATTATAACCACTGTGAGTTTTAATCCTTAAAAATTCCACTTGAAACCATTTTGTTTTTTCATTTACACATGTGAGATAAACGCCCCAAAATCTGTTTGTATCATAAATGTATAGGGAGTCCCACGCAGAGCAGTAACGAGTGCGTGGCATAGGTATGACAGGAAGTGCATTCTGGAGAGAGTCTGGCTACCAGCGAGGAGTGAACATGTACAATAACGGAACAGAAAAGCCTGACTCGTTACTGGAATCCTGCGATAAGAAGGATTTCATAAGGGGAGCACACTGAGAGAAGACAAAGCAAAACATTACATGCTTTGCTCCCTTTTATCTTTTAGTGCTGTCCCATAGCATAGCTTTTATCGGGAAAAAAAAAAAAGCACTAGTTTCATGCTGTGATTTTGAACATAAGGTGGGAAACGTGGAATATGCCAGGGCGGTCATTGCAGAATAAGAAGATGCTATCCACGTTCAGTTCTGTGCTGATTATGAGCTTGAGTGAATAAACATGTTCTACTTCAATCTAATCTGCTTTAATCTTTTTTAGGTCAGATTCATATTTAGCTAATCACTGTTGACTGAACTTAAACTTCGTAAATGTAGAAGTCATTCTTCACTGCAGACTGAAAAACAGGAAGCAGTGCCATTATTTGCTGCCTCAGGGAGATGCTTGTGGATGTCTTGCCATGTCACAAGGGACCTCCTGAGAAAATATTTTAGATAACTGAGCAAACTTGCAGTGCATGCTGTTCCAGCAGTGCTGTGCTAGGAAACAAAGAATGATTCTTTTTGCTGTCAAGTGAAAAAAAGTGCAATTAAAAAATCTGCTATGTAGGTTAAATAATCTACAATTGGAAAGGGGAAATGATACCAATAGCATCTGTACAGTTTTTGTTTTTAATTTGTAAATTAAGATCTTATGTGAGATGTATAAACTTAAATGGGAATTGTCTGGGTAACTTCAAAGTAACTCTTCATTCTCAAGATGGAGATTCCTAAGAGAAGTAATGTGGTCAGATAAGCATTTAGTCCAGTTCTAAAATGGAAAGGCACATGGTAACCTCCAAGGAAATGGAGGTGATGAAGCTGAACATGTATGTGAACTTATTTTTTATTTTGAATTAATTCAGGTGAGTTTTCAGATAATGGGTTGGGAAACCTCACATATTTTCTATGATGAATGAATGATATGCCTAAGTCTTCATTTTGACATGTTATGGTATCTGCAAAATATGCAACTTACTTAAAAGAGGAACTATGAAAGTATTCTTGAACTACTAGTGTCATCATGCTTTTTCTGGAGAAAAGTTCTGCTTTTGGATTTGTGAACTAGATCATTTGTTTAGCAGAGGAAAACACACCATCACCTCCTTTCAGAAACTAGTTATAAACCTTTCACTAGGTCACTTTTTGAGAAAGATATTTTGCAAATTTTTCAGCTGTCTCATAATTTTTCACCCACTAACAGTACCTTTAGAGACCTTAATATGGCCTTTTCCATAAACCTTCTCAAGCTAGTGACTAAGAAATGAGAGTTGGCTGGTAGTGCTTAAATACATCATTTTCCATTTAACTCAAAGGAAAGGACAAGGCAGACCTCCTGAAGACTCCATGTGGAAGTAAATCACAGAATGGTTGAGGTTGGAAGGGATCTTTGGAGATCATCTAGTCCAACCCCCCTGCTCAAGCAGGGTCCTCTAGAGCACGTTGCACAGGATCGTGTCCAGGTGGCTTTTGAAGATCTCCAGGGAAGGAGACTCCACAGCTTCTCTGGGCAACCAGTTCCGGTGCTCTGTCACCCTCACGGCAAAGAAGTTTTTCCTCATGTTCGATGGAACTGCCGGAGTTTCAGTTTGTGCCTGCTGCCTCTCACTGGGCACCGGAGAGAAGAGTCTGGCCCCATCCTCTCGACACCCTCCCTTCAGATACTTGTACACATTGATGAGATCGCCTCTCAGTCTTCTCTTCTCCAGGCTAAATGGGTCCAGCTCTCTCAGCCTTTCTTCAGAGGAGAGATGCTCCAGTCCCCTCATCCTCTTTGTAGCCCTTCCCTGGACTCTCTCCAGTGGTGCCATGTCTCTCTTGTACTGGGGAGCCCAGAACTGGACACAGTACTCCGGGGGAGGCCTCACCAGGCCTGAGTAGAGGAGGAGGATCACCTCCCTCGTCCTGCTGGCAACACTCTTCGTAATGCAGCCCAGGATCCCATTGGCCTTCTTGGCCACAAGGGCACATTGCTGGCTCATGGTCAACTTGTTGTCCACCCGGATTCCCAGGTCCTTCTCGGCAGAGCTACTTTCCAGCAGGTCAACCCCCAGCCTGTACTGGTGCATGGGATTATTCCTTCCTAGGTGCAGGACCCTGCACTTGCCTTTGTTGAACTTCAGGAGGTTCCTCTCCGCCCAGCTCTCCAGCCTGTCCAGGTCCCTCTGAATG